TCCAACTATTTTAGTCTAATAAAAGATCAAATCTGACCCCAGCAGTCTTTCCTGCCCAAGTACAGTGAGGTTGGACCTGATGATCTGTAAGGTCCCTTCCAGACCATAACATCTATGAAACTATAAAACTATATCAGATTTACCCCCCCAAAAGCTCATCTGTGTGAGGGCCAAAGCACTGTGGAGCCAATTTATTGCTGTCCATGATGCGAACTGGTGCTCAGGAGTGGGGTGCACTACCATGCCCCACTACAAGGAGCTGCCCTGCATCCTGGAGCCCACAGCCACTGAATCCCCCCGCTACTCCTTTGCCACTGGAGGAAGAGTGAAGGCAGGGACAGCCAGCCTGGAGACCCAGCCAGAGTCCCTGGAGGCAGAGCCCTCCTCCATGCCTGTTGCCCAACCACCAACTATCCATGCTGCAGAGGAGAGGTCATTGCCCTATGTCAAAGAGCCACCTGCTCAGTATCACAGATGCTGGGAGCCATCTGGATGCACTATTTGTGGTGGGAGTGCTGTACCCAGCAGGAGAGCTGGAAGGAGGAGGCACTCTGGACAGAGTGGGCATGCCACTGGGAGGCTCAGGACTTCTGCAACCAGGTTCTGTAGAATCTCTGCCACTTCCACTGTGACCAGGCCATGGTCATGGAGGGCAGACCTGGAGCACTAGGTCACCCAGATCAAGGAGTAGCAGCAGCTGGTCCAGGAGATCTTGAAGGAAATGCACCAACTCCAAGCTTCCGTTTATGCAACCATACTGCACAAGTGCAGGGCCACCGAGCAGCTCATGGCCACCGTCCCTGCCTCGGCTGCTCCTGTCTCTGTGCCCCAGGCTGCACCAGCCCAACTACAGCCACCTGCCCCCCTGGCCATCCTGTACCTCTGGCAGCAGGAGCAGGGCTCAGCTGGGAGCAGGTTGGCTGGATGATATCACAGATGGCACCCCAAGAGGCCTTGCAGTCCCCACAGGCCTGCTGTGGCCATCAAGGGGCGCAGATCCATAAACATAACCAACTTTTTATACTATAGCATAGTTACCCCTTGTCCCAAGTGTTAGACCATATTCAGGATCTCACTGGGATGTTTCTATTAAGAAGAAAAAAGGATGATAGGTGTCAGGGGTTAGGGTGTACAGGTCCTGGCTGCCTGCTTCCCGGGTCTGGGTCAATTTGCGGCAGCTGCCTCTGAGGTAGAGCACCCACCCTCCTCTCCAGAGAAGCTGCGCCCTGGGTCATGTCACTATGGTCTCTGCACACAGGGTGGCCAAACCTAAGGCTGACACCCACATTTGGACTGTTGGGCCACCAAACCTTGAGTCTCTCCTATCTGTGCCTCCTCTCCTTGAGTTTCCCCCACCCCTCAAGACCTTCTCTTGTTCCCCTAGGACACATCTACATAGTTTTGGTTACTCTCTGGATTGGGATGGGTTTGTGTACAGGGGACCTTGGGTGAATAGTGTTGGTTGGGGTGGTGGTAGGTATCACACCAGGTATTGTGGATATGATATATTGCTGGTGTCAGGGAAGTTTTGGGGAGGAGGAGGGGGACTAAAATTGCTTTTGTTCTCCATACAGCCACACTGCCTGTGCTGTTGCAGTCCTGGCAGTGGATGGGGATGGAGGCCCCTGGGCGGGTGGCCTGGTGCTGGTGGTGAGAGAACTGGTGCCCTACATGGGGCAGAGAGAGGGGCTGCAGGTGGTCAATGCTGGCCTCAGCATCAAGCTCCCTCTGGCTGAAGATCCAGGAGGAGCTGGGCAGGGCCAGTTTGCCCAAAGCAGCACAATTTGCCCTGTGCCAAAGTGCATGTTCAGGCACATACACTGAGGCACAAATCTCCAGCACAAATTTGTGCCACTGCTATTTGAGCCACTGCAAGCACAAGTGCCTGAATGTGTGGGCCTGCCCTTTGCTTGTTGTTTTTAATGACAATTTTTCATTATGTACAACTTTCTCTTAAGAATACTGTCCCCCTACCAACCACAGGAATATAAGTGATTCTCTCCCTGTTCAGAAAAAAAAACCCAAACACTTAAGCACCTGTTTAATAGCAATACTTACGCCTACATTTAAGCATGTTAATAAATACTTTGCTGAATCAGGATCCTTACTCCTTTATTTTTATATATATTCTGTTGGCTGCTTCTCTATATTTTTCCCAGATAGAAGTGCTTGTTATCCATTCCATTTGGTTCAGACCATCAAGTTCCTCTTTTAATAATCTATACTCTTTCCACAGCAGAGTAAGTTAACAACCAGCTTGGGGGTAGATACAGTTGTCATTGTTACAAACTTTTCTCACGCCTTAATATTTACTATACAAGCTTCTAAGAGACTGAGTTATAAGAAGTGGAAAATAACAAGTAGTTCAGTAAAAGCTCAGCAAATGGGCATTTTTGCTTCAGACTTTGTCAGTTCAATTGGGCTCATAAGAATTCAGAGTGAGCTTGTCCAGCCTGAACGGTTTTAGCCTATGGAACAAATGGATTCAAAACAGCCAAGCATATCTTTTTCTTACTCTTTTGACAGGTTATTTGCTCCATAATTACAACCCTCTGAATGGGAAATGTTGTCAAGATCAACATTCTTACAGGTCTTTTGCATTATAGTAGGTTTTGCTTAGTTGTCTTGTGAAAAGTGAAATTGCCACACTTTACAAAAGGTATCATTTCAGTCCTTGAACTGATAACAGTTTTTAATGGTGTTAATTTTTTTGTTAATTAAGCCAAGTTGGTCCATTTGGGCAGGCACTGCTCTTTATTCCTGCCAGCTATTACTTTGGATAATTGAAAGTCTCTCAGGCTCTGACTAATGAGGTCAAATTTCTTTATAGCTCAAGCAAATGTATTTATTTATATGTAGTTCAAGCAACTCCTTATTTCCTAGTTATTTTGAAATAAATGTGGTAGGTATTCATTCTCTTGCATATTGTTTGTGTCTGTTGTTTTTCATTCTTCTTTGGGTTAGGGATCTTCATTCATTAAATTACTACTTGACTTTTAATAAAAAAGATACTGCAAAGATCTTCTCAAGCTTAGGTGGCCAGTTAAGCTATTGTGGTTAAATAGAGTGAGTAGCCAGTTTGGCTGGGACTCTTCAGGATTCTGTAGCCCAGTCCTGGCTGGTTGGTCAGAAGTCTTGGTCCAGAGTCCAGTGGGGAGGCAGGTGGCCAGGCAGGCAGCACTGCTCCTGTGTGGGGGCAATGCAGGCAGACTGGAGCAGGTACCACCACACCTGCACGTGGCATATCCTTGGTCCCTCAGAACAGCAGTGGTGCCTGCCTGGTGCACCATGCTGCTCCACCTCCCTGCTGAAGTCCAGCTCGGGAGTTTTGACCAACAGGCTGAAACCAGCTACGGGGTCCTGGGAACATATGGTCACCCTATGGTTAAGGCATAGCACTTTACATAGCAGCACATAAGGAAATGGTATAACTATCATATATTTGATTCCTCAGCCTGCATATCTATTTACAGGTGAATCAAGTCATGGTTACTTTTAGTGTAAGTCAAAAACAGGGATCAAACTCATGCCTTTGTATCTGTTACATCAGAGTTACCTAACTAGCAGCCCATGGGTCACATATGGTTCCTGAGGGGGTAACTTGTGGCCTCCAGGCTCCTGGTCTGGACACTGCTCCCCTCCCTGCTCCAGCTGTTGTTGCTATCACCAAAGGCTCTGGCTTTCCTCTCCCTCCTCCAGCTTCTGCTCCCCACCCCGGAGCAGTTCAATGTGGCCTATGGAGCTGAGGAAGCATGTAACCAAATGGCTTGAGGGGGCCTGGAGACCTTGTTTCACACAGGAGGGCTGCTGTGGTGCAGTGCAGAGGGGAGGAGGCTGGGGGACATGTGGTGTTAGATGCTGGCCTGGCAATGGGGGAGGAAGATGCATGAGATATGGTGCAGCATGTGGCCTCCAGCCACTCAGAAATTGAACAGCCCTGCATTAGATGATGCCTTAAACCATATAGCTACCATTGACCCTTGGTCAGTAGCATAGCTATGGGTTCACCAGCCCCTTGCACTATTTTAAAGAATGGAACTCAAGAATGACAGTCCCTGGCCTGGCCACCAGTACTCTCTGGATCCTATCACCACTCAGGGCACATAACTTGCTACTTTCCTATCTTTCTTTGAGTCTCAGTAAAAATATTATTTTTCTGCATCTTTCTAAAGACAAGTTCACTCCTGATTAAAAATTTTGAATGGAATTCCTGTCGAGCAAGTTCTGTTAATAAATTTGGCCCAATAGTGCAACATACCTATAGTGACAATGTTTCAGACAAAAACGATAGAGTAGAACATTTGGGGTGCAGCTCCCCGCTGTAACTGAGAACACTTTGCAGGAAACGTTCTGAGTTACAACAATCCCCTGGAACAAACAGAAGTTCACTGTTGGTTCATCTAGCTGCTGGCTGGGAGACTGCACCCAATTTCCTCTAGCAGCAGCCCTTCTTCTTTCCCAGCTTGTCTCTGTTTCAGAATGGGAGGCAGGACAGGGAGCAGAGGGAACTTATTCTAGGGGTTTCCCAGCCAGTGCTGGAAGGTGGGGCAGGGGCAGGGGGATTGGGGGCCCTCCCCTTTTTTTTTTTTGGGGGGGGGGGGAGGGGGCTCCAATACACCCATCCCACCCTCCAGCAGGGGCTGAAAAAATCCCAGACTGAACCCCCTTTGCTTCCTTTCCCCCCTTCCATTATGAAAACAGCAAGACTGGGAGTCAGTGCGGACACAAGTTAGAGAAATCTCTGTTTTGAAACATCTTCATCTGATCCCTCATGCAGAGGGTTCAGATTTTCACCTGATTTTCAGCCATTTTTTGAACTGGTCTGGAGCTGTACACTTGAGTTTGGTCATGGCTATAAACTGCTTTCTGTAGCCAGATCAGGTGAAAACTGTCATTTCTGTCTGCACCCCTAAATTACATCTCTGTTCTCAAAATGTGTTGTAAAATCTCCACTTTTTGTGTTAGGTGTAAGTCACTAAAATACACTTTACTTTCAGAGAATGAGAAGAGCAACAGAAGAACTAAAGAGAATGAGATAAATGGAAGTACTTTGCCAATGACTGAATGGTAAAAGAGACCCCAAATATTTTATGAACAGAGGCATATGAGCTATGTAAAAACAAAATACACCTCTAAGGCACCTGAGATTTTACTGTCTCCTTAGGGTAAGTTATAGTGTATTTACATTTAGAGATCAAAGGCATTTAAGCAGTCCTTTTCAAATGATTTTGAATTTCACAACTGACTTCCTGTGTTCATACAAATTATTTTCTTTTCCTACCACATAGCTGCAGAAATTCATCTTTGTTGAAATGGCAAGTAATTCAGCAACAGTAGTTAATTAAAGTGATCTGGTCTAGTGCTGTTCACATTCCATTCAAAAAAGATAAGCAGGGACCTTAGAATTACCAGCACTTCAAGCATCTAGTTCTGTAGCAGGGACAAGAGAACTATGCAACAGAACTGTACAGGGTCTGTGACTGATGTGTACCTGCTGAGTATATGCCTGGTTGTAAAATTTCAGAAATAAGGGCTCTTATTGCAAAAAGTATAACATTTATGATTGTTAAGTCTGGAAGGCTTTGGTTTGGGATTCCCTAGGAAAACTTAACGTTTCCTCTTTTTTGCATGTTCTTTATAGTCGTGGCTTCATTTATTACCATCTAGCACTAGGGAAGAGAAAATACGGTTTGAGCCAATATATATAAAATATATGGAGGTAAAGATTTATAATAGATACTAATCACAATAGATTAGCGGATTTCACAGGTAAATTAATATAAATTCTCAGAAGCCTGAACAATTAAGGAAGGGTGATAGAAACAGTGGTATTCATATGTGATACCCTCTATTAGGGAATGATTCTGCTTTTATATTTGAGAATAGTCTTCTCTTATAATCTAACATGGCTAAATACCTCACTCTTCTGTTATAATGCTATGATGCTATTACAGCTAATCTTACAAGTTTATTTTCTTAGCACAGAAGCAGTATATAGTACAAAGAAATGCTATGTTATTTGTAGTGTGGTTTTTGTCTGTTCTGTGAGCTGTGGTAAGTGGCAAGTTTTTTACCAGATTTATTTTCTCTAAGCAGAGTCAATCCTTGGGGTAGAATTGGTTTCAATGAACTGAGCCCTGCTGCTTTTGCTGAGATTTCTGGAAGAAGGTATTGACTGTATGTTGTTTCTGTCAGCTCTACTTAAGGATTGATCTATACAATGTAAACAAAACCAATTATACTAGGAATATAGAGACTCATAAGAGTATGTTAATTTGCAAAGCACTTCTACTTGGCAGAGGGACAAACAAAAGTACATCACTATTTTTATTTATACCAAGATATAATAACCCTTTGGGCTTGTTCAGTATTTTTAATCTGAGTAATTTTCTTGACAACATCTGGTTAAGCTTATAAACATATCTCCCACATTAAAATTTGTATTTCTTCAGTGTTCCCAGATTTTCATGAGAAAAGAAACATAATTATCTAGTCTAGGGACAGAAATTGCACATAAGCCTGTATAAGTGATTGGAAACTGGTTTAAATATGTAACAAAACAGAAGATCAATGCACATAAACCACTTTCAAAATGGACAAAACCAGTTTAAAATAAACCTAGATGGATGCTGAATCAGACTTAACTGATTTAGGTTTAACTGGTTTATTGAACTTCTGTCCCAGAGCCACTCCAGATTCAATCTGTCTGCTCCAGGAGAGCAGAGGTGCCCCCCCCCCCCCCATCTTCTTGCATGGCCACTGCAGGCATGTGGCTGCATTTTTGGAATGAAATGTGAATGTCTGTTTACTTACTTATCAGTTCAGTCTACACAGCTTAAACTAACCTGCAAAGACTGAATTGATTCAGCCTCAGGCTTTTTGGCTGTTTGTACCTAGCCCTAGTCTGATCGTCATCTCTGATATTTATAAAACAATAGTTTCTAACTGTTGGATGTTGTTAAAGGTTTTTGAGGTGTCTAACAACCGAAATCTATTCCCTATGTAGGCACTTGCAGTCTGTAATGAAGTTACCTCTTAATCTTTTCTTGGATAAACTAAGTAGACTGCACTTCTTTAGTCTTTCACTGTAAGACATGTTTGCAGACCACATATCTTTATTTTAACTCTTTTTCTGAGCCCTTTTCAAAGTATGAGTTTCTTTTTCCAAACATGGACACAAGAATGAGACACAGTATGCCAATAATTGTCCCTTTAAAGGCATCTATAGAGGTAAACTTGATTCCTGTTCTTGTTGTTCCTTTGCTTCTGTGTCCAAGGTTTGTTGTCTCCTACTTAGCTACATTATCACACTGGAAAGCTCATGTTGTTCTAGTTATTTAAGTCCTTCTCAGATGGACAGATGACATATTGCATCATTGCGTCCTTCTTGGCAAAGATATTTGAAAATTTGTGGTGCTCAGGTGAGGTCCCAGAAGACTGGAAAAGAGCCAATGTGGTCCCTATCTTCAAGAAAAGGAGGAGGGATGACCCATGGAATTAAACACCAATCAGTCTGAAGTCCATCCCTGGAAAAATCCTGGAGAAAATTGTCAAGGGATCCATCAACACCAGACTAAATGAAGGCAAGCATCTGAATGCCAGCTAACATGGCTTTGTGAATGGCAGGTATTGCCTGACAAACCTCATTTCTTTCTATGACCAGGTAACACATGCCCTGGACAAGGGAGATGATGTGGATGTCATATCTGGATTTCAAGAAAGCCTTTGCCTTAGTTCCCCATGAGGTCCTCATGGTTAAGCTAGGGAACTGTGGCCTTGATCATCTTACCATCTGATGGCCAGGCAACTGGCTACGGGGTCAGACCCAAAGAGTGCTAGTTGACGGGAGCAAATCAACGTGGCACAGGGTGACCAATGGAGTCCCTCAGGGCTTGATACTTGTGCCAGTACTCTTTAACATCTTCATTAATGATCTGGATTCAGGAGTGTGATGTGAACTGGTGAAGTTTGCAGATTACACCAAATTATGGGGGAGGGTGGTCACACTGCAGGACAGGCTGGGGATACAGGCCAATTTGGACATGCTATCAAGTTGGGCTGACCAAAACCTGATGGCCTTCAATGTAGAGAAGTGTAAGCTGCTGCATCTTGGTAGGAAGAACCTTCAACATACTTACAGGCTTGGCAGTGCTATGCTCAATAGCACCAAGACCAAAAGAGACTCGGTGGTGTTGATTGACCACAAGATGAATATAAGCCACCAGTGCGATGCTGTGGCTGGCAAAGCAAACCAAACTCTGGCATGCATCCACCAATGCATTTCAAGCAAAGAGGGAGTCTTTGCAGTGTGAGATGTGCCTCCTTGTAGATTATCTCAGGAATCAGGTAAAGGAGCTACAGGTGGAGAGGCTCATCGGCATTTGTGAGCTTGAGGCTTTCATTTACTCAATGCAGAGAGAGACTGCCAGCATCATGGAAGAGGGACAGCCACAGAAGGCATTGGAAGACAGAGAAGACACAGGTACTTTGGAAGGTGGAGGTTGGCAGCTTGTCCCTTTTGGCAACAGACAGCATTCCTCTTCAGAACCTGTGGCTGTCCAGCTGGAGAACAGGTAAGAAGTCCTAGCACTGGATGAGAAACAGCACACTCCAGCGGCGGGAGATGCCAAGCCATGCATCCCTGATAGATGAGGATCAAGACCAGTGCTACCAAGTGGAAGCAACAAGTGGTGTTGGGGCAAAGAAGCATCTATATCTTGACCTGATTAATTGGCTTGGTTGGTCTGCTGTCTGCCAGGAGTCTGCTTCTAAGACATCACAGAAAAATTGCTGAGATGCATCAGGCCCTCTGACTACTATTCCATGCTTTTCATGTGGGCACTAATGATACTGCTAGGGGGGTGACCCTGAGCAGATCAGAAGTAACTCATGGCTCTGGACAAAAGGGTGAAGGGCATGGGCTGCCTAATTTATGTTCTTACCTATTCTTCCAATCAAGGGTAAAGGACTAGTTAGGAGTAGACACATCAAGGAGATCACCAATCACCATGTAGCTGTATAGAAAACACCACCAAGTACAGGCTTGCTAATCTAGGGAAGAGGGCTTTACATTTGTTTGACTGAGGCATGGAGACAAAGGCTCAGAGGTAAGTAAAGAAGCAGGGGACGTGGATAAAAACTTAGTAAAAAGCAGCTATAACAGAACCCTTAGCAATGCTTTCAGGGAGAAGATAGATACCTAAAATATTTACATACTAACATGAAAATTATGGGAAACAAACAGGAAGAAATGGAGGTCTTTGATTTGCAGATAACTGTCTTTCAATAAATAGGAAAGTCTTCAGTGGGCACATCTGCATGTGAAATTAACATGACTGAATATACAGGAAACCCTTGGTATTTGTGGGTTCAGCATTCACAGTTTCAAATATTCGCAAATGCCAAACCTGTATTTTAAATACACTTTAAACACTTACTGAAGCTCCTTGGGAGCTCCGCGCTTGCTGCCACTGCCCGCCCTGCCTGCCACTGGGCTCCCACTGCTCCTGCTGGCCTCCCACCATTGCTGCTGCACTCCCACCATCACCGCTGGAGCCATGCCCCTCCCCCAGCCACCAGGGGCACTGCATTCATGAACGCAGATTGTGTTCATGAATGCAGTGCCCTATTTGTGGATTTCAGCAATCCCGGGGATGACAGGAACGTATCCCCTGTGAATGGTGAGGGTCACCTGTACTCTAATTCAATTGGAGCTGGAGTAAATTAATCCTAACGTCACAATCTACATGTACATTTAAAAATAGTAATTTACTGTGGCATAAAAAAGTATGTGTCCGATGGGACTATCCTATGCCAGAGTAAAGTAATCTACTGTACACTAATTGTGGCTCACATGTAGATGGTGACACTTTACTGTGCATTAGTTTCATAGTTTCTAGGGCTGGAAGGGACCTGAACAGATCATCAAGTCCAACCCCCTGCCCCGGTCAGGAATGAGTGCTGGGATCATAATACCCCAGCCAGATAGTTATCCAACCTCCTCTTGAAGATCCCCAAGGTAGAGGAGAGCACCACCTCCGTTGGGAGGCCAATCCAGAGCCTTGCAGCCCTAACCATAATGTAATGCCTTGTGATATCAAGCCTGAACCTACTCTCAATCAATTTGTGGCCATTATTTCATGTTATCCCAGGTGGTGCCTGTGGGAACAGAGCCTCACCTATTTTCCGCTGGTCTTCCTTGCTGAGGTCATAGAAAGCCACCAGATCCTTTCTCAGTCTTCTCTTGTGGAGGCTGAATAGATTCAGGACCTTTAGTGTATCTTCATAGGGCCTGTCCTGCTGCCCCCTGATGATGCAAGTGGTCCTCCTCTGGACCCCCTCAAGGTTAGCCAGATCCCTCTTGAAGTGCGGCACCCAGAACTGGATGCAGTACTCCAATTGTGACCAGACCAGTGCCATATAGAGGGAAAGGATCACCTCCCTGGACCTGCTTGTGATGCATCTGTAGATGCACAACAAGGTGTGGTTAGCCTTACTGACTGCTTTCTTACATTGGTGGCTCATGTCCATCCTGGAGTCAACAATGACTCCAAGATCCCTTTCAGCCACTGTGTTGATGAGAAGGGTGTTCCCCAGCCTATAGGTATATTGCAAGTGCCTTCTCTGTAGATGCAGCACCTTGAACTTGTCTGCATTGAATTCCATTCTATTCTCATCTGCCCACCTCTGTAACCTGTCTAGATCTAGTTGGATTCTGTCTCTCCCCTCCAGTGTGCCCACTTCTCTCCACATCTTTGTGTCATCAGTGAATATGGACAGCGTGCTTTCCATGTCCACCTCCAAGTCGCTGATAAAGATGTTGAATAGCACAGACCCGAGGACCAAGCCCTGGGGAACTCCACTGCCCACATCCCTCCAGGTCAAAAACAACCCATCCACCACCACTCTCTGGGTTTGACCATCGAGCCAATTTGCCACCCATCTGACTGCGTAGGCATCAGTGTTGTAATCACCTAGATTTTTGTGAGAACAGGATGAGAAAGTGTCAGAGGCCTTCTAAGTCCAGGTAGACAACATCCACCTCAATGCCCACATCCAAGGACTTTATGACCTGGTCATAAAGGGAAACAGGGTTAGTCAGGAGGGATCTTCCTGCAATGAACCCGTGTTGGTTGCCCCTGAGCATTACCTCCCATGCTGGGCCCCCG